TAACTCGTTTATTTCCGTTTTTTTTTTCTTTTTTTTTTTTTTTATCTTCATCGAACAACATAAACAAAATTAAATTAGCGCGGAATTTCTAAATTTCACCAGAAAAATTTCGACCTTTTCTATAAAAAATTCTTTTAATTAGAAATCAAATCGTTGGTTTATCCATAGCTGCAGTTATTGTTCACGCTATTGAAACTTGAAAGCGATGCATTCAGTAAATAAATATCCATTTATATTTCTCGTTGTTACGCGTATAAATACATTCTTAACTCGTCGAAATCATCTTGACTACTTTTGCGAGAGAAAAATATCTTTATTTTCACGTAGATTTGAATCGCATTTATGCTTTCACTTTGTTACCTCGCCCTTCCTCTAACGCGAATAAAGCTAGAATAATAGGATCAGCCACAAGTATTCGTGTTGCAATCGTCTAATATTGCAGTATATTTAGAGACACTATAACAGTTCGATACTCTGATTTCGATATTCTATATTTTTCCAACTTATAACAAATCGTGAATCGATCCAAAGTACTTTCAAAGGTCTAGAAGACATTAAATATACATAGTATCTCGAAATAGGCGGATCTTTGCAATTTTATTTAAACATATTCATGATATACAAGAAAAGATGTTTCTCTTTTTACGAAATTACTATTTCCTATATTATGACTAAACATTTCAAATAGAAATAAAATATAGTATAGTAATCTCGAACGATCGTTGTTATGCGGGCATCAAAGTCTCCAAGCGTCAACTAGTTAGAAATACGACTTTAACAACAGTTGTATTATTATTTGCGTATAATTAAATAAATACCCGCAGTCATTTATATTACTATAGATATGCAAATAACGACTTTCGATTTAAAATTTTTTATCGAAAATTTTCTCTGTAACATTTTTCAAAGATATCTTTCATCGAAAAAGAAAATAAAATAATCGTCCATGTTTTTTCTACTAGAAGTTGCTTCATCTACAAATCGACTTAGTTTTCGGATACTCAAAAATGCACCATATCGTTTTCGAACTAGCTCGCAAATGCACGAGGAGAGAGTCACGAGGCGCTTGTTTGTCATTGTTGTCGAAACGACAGTTTCCACCGATGCATTTTTTCTTTTCTCGTCCGTCAAGCATCGACCATTTCGTCCCATTGTTCTTGCGTGGCCGAGAATAAGGCAAGAAAGCCGATCGAGGGAAAGTTGGGCGAGCAGGTTGGAAAATGAAACGCTTTTGGCAAATAGAGCGGCGGTGCACCGATAACTTAATTAACGTGCCCCGCGGGACATCGGTGTCCAATGACCATTAAGTGAAAGTCAAGAAACAATGAGGCGGGAAGCTCTGTGACTCGGATTTAATCACGGTAATTACCATTAACGACGATGCTTCGCGTTTTTTATCTGAACACGTGGAACTTGAGGCGGAATTGGAAATGTGGACACGATAAAAAGGTGAAACGATCCACGAGCAGGAAGTTGGTGGTAGAGATTTTAAATCGTACGCCGATCATTGTTTTTCGAGCACCGATGAACAGGTTATGTAGATGATACTGGGGGATAGCATTGTGATGTTGTTGTTGCCGTAACAGAGATATCAAGGGGACTGGGATCGCGTTAGGAATATAAAGGAAGGAATATACGTTCACTCGCATATTTATAGTACCGTTAACCAGGTTACTTCGCCAAGTACAGCGACCGTTTATGAGACTTTGGAGATCCCCATTAGTCTGCGGTTTACCTGTGCGGTAATTTCGCAACATGCTCTTGCTTCCTTCGTTCTTAGACTCGGTTTGTACCATACTTTTATCGCGCGATAGTAATCGAGATAACACGCATCCATGCTTCGTTATGTCGATGAAATGAATATCGTGGCAATTAGTTAATTGGTTACAAAGCAACTTTTCATCGTGACACCCGTTATAGCGTCATGTTTGACCGTTTGACCAGATACTTTCCTTTCCTTGATAGGAAAGGATTATTTCGTGAGTGGAATCGAGAATCTTGTATCAATCCATTTTTGATTTTCCTTGGGCTATTACGTGTATGTGAAAAAATATTGTGCAAGTTTTATGCAATTAAATGCATAAAAACATTTTGATGTAAATCGAAAGCAACTCCAAAAAATTATTAAAAATTGAAATATAAAGAATCGATTTAAGGATTATTTTATAAAAATAAATTGTGTATTTAATGCTTTCTTTTTAATGTTGAATAAAAAAA